ATGAGAGGAGATTCTGCCTCTGTGCAGGCCCCTCATGGACAAGGTAGAGCTGGAGGGGCCAGAGGGGCTGAAGTTAGTAACCAGAAAGGAGTCTAGAGTAGGATTGTTACCTAGAGAGAAGTGAAAGGTCTTGAGTCTAAAAGCAAGAGTGGCATAATGAGGCTGCAGGTAGGGAAGTTGGACCTTCTACTAAAACCATACAAAAATATTAACTCGGGGCTGGGATGTAGCCCAGCGGTAGAGTGCTTGCCTAACATGCACAAAGACAAAGTCCTGGGTTCCATCTCCAGCACTGAAAAAGGAAAAAAGAAAGGCCAAAAGCCAAGCATGGTGGCACACATCTGTAATTCGAGTTATTTGGGAGGATGAGGTAAGAGGATCACACGTTTGAGGCCAGCCTCAGCAATTAATTTAGCTAGACCTTGTCTCAAAATATAAAATAAAAAAAGGGCTGGGGATATAGCTCAATGGTAAAGAGACCTGGTTTCTATCCCCAGTACCACCACCACCACCATCAGCACACACACACACACACACACACACACACACACACACACATAAAGAAAGAAAAAATTTAGTGCAATGTGACTCTAAAACCTAAACTTAAAAACTAAAACTAAAAATTCTTAGAAGAAAACATTGGGAATAATCTCCATGACTTAAGAGTTTGACCATGCTTTCATAGATAGAAAAATGCACAGACTACAAAGAAAAAAATTTTGATAAATTGGACTCACCAAAATTAAATATGTCTGTACACAAAGAAGACTCATGCCCAGGTGCAGTGGCACACACCTGTAATCCCAGTGGCTCTCGAGACTGAGACAGGAGGATAGCAACTTCAAAGCCAGCCTTAGCAAAAGTGAGGCCTAAGCAACTCAGTGAGACCCTGTCTCTAAATAAAATACAAAATAGGGCTGGGTTGTGGCTCAGTGATTGACCAGTCCTGAGATCAATCCCCAGTACCCCCAAAAAAAACAAGACCCACAAAAAAATGTTCTATTGGGCATGGCTGTAATCCCAGCTACTTGGGAGGCTGAGGCTGGAGGATTCCAGGTTGGACATAAGCCTCAGCAACTTAGTGAGACCCTGTCTCAAAATAAAATTTAAAAAAGCATTGAGGATATAACTCAGTTGTAGTGTCCCTGGGTTCAACCTCCAGCACCATACACACACAAAAAGCACCCCCCATGGAAATGGTAACCCCTAAAATGGGAACAACTATTGGCAAATCACATATCTAATGAGAAACTAATGTCCAGAATATACAAAGATCTGGGGGTGTAGCTTGGTGGTAGAGTGTGTGCTTATCAAGCACAAGACCCCAGGTTCAGGGCTGGGGAGATAGCTCAGTTGGTAGAGTGCTTGCCTCACATGCACAAGGCCCTGGGTTCAATCCCCAGCACCTGCAGGCTGCAGTGTGGAGGGCTCTCAAGGGTGAGGTTTAGGCCACTGAGATAGAGGGCCAAGAGCAGGTGCCAGCACTGGAGCGGGGAAGGAGGATGCCATGCTGACAACAGCAGGGAGGTCGCGGTGCCCTGCACTGTGCCAGTGGCTGTCAGCATTAGGGCCCCTGCAATGGGGATGGAGAGAAGACTGACTGGAGCTCAAGCTCCATCAGAAACTTAGGGCCATCTGGCTGGGAGTGCAGCTCAATGGTAGAGCACTTTCCTAGCATGTGTGAGGCCCTGGGCTCCATCCAGCACCACAAAAGGAAAAGAAGGGGGGGAAAGGGAAGGAAAGAATTATCACAATTTCAATGTTATTCCACACAGAAAAATTTTTAAAAGTCCTAAAATTCATATGAAACCACAAAACACCCCAAATAACCAAAGTAATCTTCACCAAAAAGAACAAAGCTGGCTGGGTGCGGTGCCACATGCCTGTAATCCCAGTGGCTGAGGAAGCTGTGGCAGGAGGATCCTGAGTTCAAAGCCAGCCTCAGCAATTTAGCAAGGCCCTAAGCAACTTAGCGAGACCCTGTCTCAAAAAGGACTGAGAATGTGGCTCAGTGGTTGAGTGCCCCTGGGTTCAATCCCCAATACCAAAAAAGTAAAACAACAAAACTGGAGGTGTCACAATACCAGATTTCAAAATGGTTACAAATCAGCCAGGCATGGTGGTGCATGCTCATAATCACAGTGGCTCAGGAGCCTGAAGCAGGAGAATCACAAGTTCAATGCCAGTCTCAGCAACTTCTCCAGGCCCTAAATGGGCCCTTAGTGAGGCCCTATCTCAAAATAAAAATAAAATTAGAAGGGTTAGGGATGTTGCTCAGTAGCTAAGCACCTCTGGGTTCAATCCTCAGTACCAAAAAAAAAAAAAAAAAGACATACAAGTGACCAACAGATAAATGAATAAATGCAAATACAAACTAAAACAAGATACCACTGCACACCTATTAGATTGGTTATTGTCAAAACATGAAAAATGATAAGTGTCAGCAAGAATGAGGAGAAAAGAGATCACTATTGGTGGTGTAATTTAGTAAGTCATTTTGGAAAACAGTACAGGAGGTTCCTCAAAAAGCTAAAAACAGCTGGACAGAGTGGCACACACTGGTAATCTCATAGATTTGAGAGGCTAAGGCAGGAGAATTGCAATTTCAAGGCCTGTCTGGGCAATTTAGGGAGACTTTGTCTCAAAATAAAAAATAAAAATAAATTTAAAAAAAAAAGGAGAGGAGGGTAGTAATGTCATTCGGTAGTAGAGTACTTCTGGCTTCAATCCTCAGTACCCACACTCTACACACACATACACACACAAATCTAAAAACAGAATTACTCTATGATCCAGCAATCCCACTACTTCTACTACTGCATGTATACCCAAAGGAATTAAGATCAGCATTCATTGCAACATTATTCACAATAATCAAGACATGGAAACAATCTAAGTGTCCATCAACAGGTGAATCGATTTTTAAACTTTGGCATTAACCAAGCATGGTGGCAGGCACCTGTAACCCCAGCTATGTAGGAGGTTGAGATGGGAAGATCACAAGAGCCCAGAATATCAAGACCAGTCCAGGCAAAATAGTAGAATAGTAGAACCTAGTCTCAAAAGCAAACAAAAAAAAAAAAGCAAAACTGTGACATACACATACAATAGAAT